GTGGAAGAATCACTATCCTCCCAAGCAATATAAGCTTTGTGTTTGCTCTTATAGGTATTGTTCTTCTCTTTCATCTTCTCTTTCACATCTTTCTTCTCTTTCTTAAGTTTCGACATGATCCGGTTTGATATGACTAGGTTTTCCACATTCATAGCAATGGAATTTATTTGTTTTCTCCTTTCTTTGCTGTCTCTTTTTCCTGTTCTTCATAAAGCGAGAAAATTGTTTAACAAAAGGAGACATATCGGAGTCCAAAAACTTACCTTCATTTTCTCTTTCGTCTTGTGAAGATTTTTCTACTTTTAGAGCTATTGTCTTGGTTTGATTCTATTCACCGTTCTTTAACCTTTGTAGCTCCATCTCATGTTCTCGCAGCTTTCCAAATAGAGTAGCAATATTCATTTTTGTGAGATCCTTTGATTCTGTAATAGCAATGACCTTTGGTTGCCAATTCCTGTCTAAGGATTTTAAGATCTTTGTGCTCAACTCCTCATTGTCAAAAAATTTTCCTAATGCTTTCAAGTGATTTATTATATGTGTGAAGCATGTCTGGAAATCCATGATGCTTTCATTTTGCTGCATTTGAAATAATTCATACTCCTGGATGAGTGTGTTCTTACATGCTCGCTTTACTTCATTTGTTCCTTCATGTGTTACTTCAAGAGTGTCCTATATTTCTTTTGTCGTCTTGCATTGTGAGACCCTGAAAAATTCATTACAAGTTAAGGCAGAAACAATAGTGTTTCGAGCTCTTACATCATAATGGGCACGCTTGTTTTCATCCGGCGTCCATTGATCAAAAGTCTTTGGAACAACTCCAGACTCTATTGTTCTCATCGGAATGTATGGACCATTGAGTACAGCATCCCAAATAGCATAATCTAGTGTTTGTAAAAATATTTTTATTCTTGCTTTCCAAAACTGATAATCTTCTCCTTCAAATAATGGAGGTCTATTTATTGAGGCTCCTTCCTTGTAAACCTGATTCTGCATAGACATCTTGACAGATTGTTTAGAAATATATTATCTAACCAAGCTCTGATACCACTTGTTAGACAAATGGCATATAGAGGGGGTTGAATAGATGCACAAATTAAAATAGATATCAAATTAAAAATTTATTTGTGAGTCAATAATTTGTTTGAATACGGATAAAGTGGAAGCGATAAAATAATCGGGAAAAGAGAAAGAAATAAGGGAAAGAGAAGAGTACACAATGATTTATACTTGGTTCGGGTATAGCCAACCCTACATCTAGTTCCCAGATCAACTCTTAACACAAGAGTGACTCCCAATTCACTATCTTTCAAATTCAGTTTACAAATTACAATCAACTTAGCGGAAGAACTAGTAAAAAGAAAACTAATTAAAAAGACAATCACCTCCTTAGAAACCCACTAAGGATGAACACCTCCCTAGAATCCCACTAGGGATGAACACCTCCTCCGAACAAATCAAAGGATGAAAAACACCTCCTTAGAATCTCACTAAGGATGAACACCTCCCTAGAATCACACTAGGGATGAAAACCTCCTTTGAACAAATCAAAGGATGAAAACACCTCCTTAGAATCTCACTAAGGATGAACACCTCCCTAGAATCACACTAGGGATGAAAAACACCTCCTTTGCCACCAATACATAAAGGATGAAGGTAATAAAAATAAGAACAGATCACACACGGGTAATGGAGACAACAAATTGTAGAAGCCTATAGAATGTCAATCTCCAAGAACAAGTGTGATTAACAATGAAAGCACGTAAGGCGGTAGAGAAGAGGGTTTTCTCAGAAGGTCTAAAATATCTCTCGTTGCCTTACTCGAATTCTTTTCTCAAAGCTGATTGAATGTAAATTGTATTTTCGAATTCCGTAATTGTGTGTTTTTTATTTTCCATCAAAACTTAATTAAATAGAAAAATAGCATCGAGAAAATGGTCGTTGGACATTAATATTTTCGTGAATAAAAATCAATATATATTCAAAAATATTTATTCTTCAAAACAAATGTATTTTTCAAATTTGAAATGTCATAATTGATTATGTTACCAGTATAATCAATTATGACAAAGAAAATCATTTTTTCATTTTTGATGCATCATTATTGATTATGACAGTGAAAAATATCATGTTATGAATTTTATCACACTTGTGCTTTGGAGGCTTATGCATAATATTACTTCATCAACTTGTACCTCCATATCCAGTATTCTAAGACTCTATCTAGTCTTCAGGAATCATCTTGGGCTTGCTTGAATCATCATCTTTATCAAAAATATATCTTGGGCATGTAGGAAAAGGTTTCACATTGTCACCAACGTCATAAATTCAGACTTTTCCTTAATTTATCTTGAATGGTGTTGACTTAAATGTAGTTGACTTGAATCATTATCAAAACCATCTCTTGGGAATGTAGGGACATTTCCATCAATCTTCCCCTCATTGCTTTTAGAATTGATTCACATTGAAAGCGCATGTAAGTCTCTAAGAAAACCTCTCAAAAGATTGCTCAAAAGTTTGCACAAATCTTATATTTAAAAAGAGAGAAAAATTGGTTATAGAGGTAAATACGTCAATTTTAATCGATTAAATTATATATTTAATCGATTATTTTCACTTAAATGACCAATTAATAAATTATTTTATTGTTTTAATCGATAGAACAAAGAAGTAAAAATATATGAAAATTTTCATAAGTTGTTTTAACCTATCAAAACTCATTTTATCAATTAAAATAGAGCAGTACAAATTGCTCTAAGTAAATATAAAAATATATTTTAAATGATGGACAACAACTCTAATCGATAAAAATTATGAGACAAAAATTTTCCATAATGGTCAAATTTTAATTAATAACAATTCCAAACAATCGATTAAAATAATTTTAACGAAAATTTTAATAAATTGCAAGAACATTTTAAATAGTAACAAGATAGTTTAATCAATGAAACACATTTTTTGAAATCATGACCAAGAACATTATCACTAATGTAAAAGGTGGTTTAATCGGTTTAAACTTTGAAACACAATAATGTTCAAGGGATTAAGTGCAATTAACTTTTACCAACCTAAGAATATTTTAATAGATTAAAACTAATTGTATCAATTTTATACCAAGATTAATTTTAAAAATGAGACATTTTTACTAACTTAAAACATGATTAACAAGATAATAATGGATTAAAGCATGAAAAAAAAAAAAAAAAAAACAATTGGGGCAACCAACACAAAATTGACTTGGCTTGGTTTCATAAAATTTAGCATGTAGAGTGCTTTATGTTCTTTCAACTACAACATGACTCTAAGCTTAGGGGATTTGCACACCTACCTAATTTGCACACTACATCATGCATAGCATAAAATCAGGATATTCTTACCGTCAATACTATTAATTACATAATTATGCAGTTAGAAGGAGAAAATCACAATATACCATATAATTCATATAATCAAGCTTTAAAATAACATTATTTATTATCCAAAATAATTCGATAAAAGTCTTATAATTAAAACAACTTTATTTTGCGCAGACACAACTCCTCCTCATATAAATATTGACTATGACTTTGTAGGTGAATATTCCCTTTTCACACATAGCATTCAGAGTTTGGCGTAGGAAACTTGAAGGTAGAAGCTCACCGGACCAATATGATAGAGCACTCATTGATAACTTTATTTTTTACATAAATAATCATGATTTTTAACCTTAATAGAGTTGATAAGATGACTAAATGATTTAATATTTTGTATACCCTTACGCAAAATATTTAGTAACATTTATATATATATATATATATATATATATATATATATATATATATATATATATATAAGGACTAATTTAACCCCTTTTTCATAATACGTAAAAAACAATCGAGTAACTAATCTTAGTAAACCCTGACAAAATCCATAATCCATAATGAAATGTAATAAAAAAATTAAATAAATAAAAGATATATTCTTAAAATATCTATATTATTAATAAAAGAATTTGGTTTGTATAACGAAGTTTTTAGTGTACACAACTTTCCTTATTTATCTTTTATATTTTATAATTATTATTTTAATTGTTTTTTTGAAAAAATATGTTTGCACTAATATTGAATGGTAATAGGAAATTAGTGGAAAGAAACTCCCACGTTCACCCAAATTTATATAGGAGACTTGTACTTTAACATTTTGCATAATAAATAATATATTTAATCAAAATATTTTTATAGATATTAAATTTTAATTAATTAAAATAAAATAATATGATAAAAGAATTGAAGAAATACAAGCGTGCGACAATGCGGCATGTTTATGCCAGTAGTTCGTAATTTTTATATCTTTCAATCATTTCATACATTATTTTCAAAATGAAAGCAAAGTTGGAAGAAAAAAACTGTTATAAACCCTCTATTGACTTGATGAATTATTTATCCTATCAATAGAATATTTAGATTTCGTAAAATTTAATTGTCGTATTATAAACCCTCTATTGACTGGACAGAATTATTTATAACCATCTTAATTACTATATTTTTCCAAATCTAAGGACAAAAATCTAACAACATTTCTGCTGAAAGAAAGGAATATGATGATATGACGAGTTATTTTATAACGCAACAAAATCTTTTTGTAATATATAAGGTATAATTGTAATTTAGTTTTATATTTTACCGAATTTCTAAATTCGTTTTCATTATTTTATTTTAATCTTTAATTGTTAATTATTTATAATTTTAGATTCTGATTTTTTTTCTTATACATTTTGACCTCGAGTTAATAATACGGTTAGTTAACATAGTGTTTAGATTAAATTATCATGGCATCAGTTTAGACATCTTTAATCTTTTGAACATTTCTTGTTAGCTTATATTCCAGGTGTTATTCAACGAAAAACTATATTATTCTATAGCTTTGATCAAACTATCAGTGTCGGTCCGCTATATTATATTATTATCATATTTTGTTTGTATCATTGACACTCGTTATCATATGGAGACGTAGGCAGCAACTGCATGTTCTCTTTAGAGTTTAATGGTGAAACGGAAGAATCTCACATGGAAGAAACCGTCGTATTGACAAGAGAGCCTCTTCTTGCCCAACAACAACAAATCCCATCTTCTCTAATCAATAATTTGTATATTGGTCACTTCTTAGCTAGATGGGATGCCAGGTTTTTCTTTTACTTCACTCCTCTCACACAACATTTATTTATTTAAACCAAAAATATCATTAATAGGTCACTCACTAATCACTATTGTTTCCTGTGCTTAATTGATTTCATTTTTACAAGATTGCATAGAAATTTTTTTCTTTTTTACTTTTGTAGAGTTTAAAATTTCCCTGAATAGGATAATGGGTTTGGGCCAAATCGCCCAAACAGATGAATTTAAATGGTTGTTTGTCCTCTGAAATGAGAAATTTACCAGTGGGATGGAGTATCCAACTGTATCAATTACATTTAATTATACCAATCTGGGAAATAGATCACATTAGATATGATTTAATATACTTGCAATGAAGGTGGTTAGGAGTTAGATAGTTAGTTAGGATCACTCTGTATTGGCTTGAGTGTTGAGATTTTCGAAATCACTGGTTCCTCAGGGAATGGGTTGCACTATTTTGTTTGCTTTGGCTTGTTTTTTACTAGTTGAATTCACTGAGCATGTGTTTCCAGGATGTGGGAATTTTCTGTTGGTTTATATATGATCAACATTTGGCCAGACTCTTTGCTGTATGCAGCAATATATGGTGCCATAGAATCTGCCTCCATTGCACTGTTTGGTCCCATAATTGGAAGATGGGTTGATAAGTTGTCTTATGTGAAGGTGTGAGCCCCAAGTATTAGTAATTATTTTATCTCCGTTTATGCAAGGACACTAGTGCTTCAGTTTTATGACCTGTAAAGCTTTTCTGTCTTTTTGTATTAGTTATCATATTAAATATTGTTTGGGAATATTTCATTTGTATCTATTAAGTCCACGAAGCTAAAAGATAACTGAAGATCTCTTTTAGTCTACTTGTCTTCATTGAATTTATGGGACCAGTATTGGCAGGTTTCTTTTTTGCTCGGTCTCTCTTTTTTCCCCTTTAGTTTTATGTGTGTATGAATTAAGAAGTCCCGAAATGGAAAGAAATGGGTGAAGTAAGGTATAAGTGAAAAAGCTTATAAACCTACTGTTTTTATACTTCTCCTATCCACCAGATTCTTTTGACTAGACCTTGAGTCCTTATATTCCACCAGCACATGAAATGCTAAAATCTTTTCAAGAATTATCTAAAGAATGAGCGATGAACAAAATTCAAAGATAAAAATGTATTTAGCAATATATGATACAGGTAGCTTTAGTTATTTCAATTAGTTTCTTAATTATTTGATTATGAAGGACTAGGTGTCTATGATGAAGTAACCCGATCAGCACACTTTGTTGGCAGGTTTTGCAGTTGTGGTTGGTCACACAAAATCTCTCTTTCGTTATTGCTGGGGCAACTGTAATTTCTTTACTTGTCAACTCATCTTTGAAGTTTACAAATTTTTCAGCTTTCATATTACTGGTGTGGACCATCAATATCTGTGGTGGTATTGCTGTGCTTTCTACTCTTGCCGGTACAATCTTGATTGAAAGAGAATGGTAAAATTCATAATTGTCTTTACTTTCCCTCAAATTTACAACTCAGAAAAATGTTAATTATTCTATGTTTTGCCCGGTTTTCGAGTAGTTTAATTGTGGACATTAAAGGAAAAATAGTTTTTCAAAACATGATTAGCACCTCTATCAATATCTTAAATTAACTGAATTATAAGGTATGCTTGATTAAATGTTGAAGAAATATTTTGTTATGAAAATGATGGTCTTCTTGTTTCTATTATACAGGTTGGTAGTTATAGCTGAAGGTCAACCCCCAGAATTGCTGACAAAGATGAATTCAGTTACAAGACGCATTGATCTAACCTGCAAACTACTTGCTCCTGTTATTACTGGGTTTATAATAAGCTTTGTATCACTAAAAGCATCAGCTATAACTTTAGCAGTGTGGAATACTGTGTTTGTTTGGGTGGAGTATTGGCTTTTTACATCTGCATATAATGGGATTCCAGCATTAGGCCAAAGTAGCCAAAGGAGGATGGCAAGACTTTCACAAAGTGATCAACAAAGAAACAATCCAACTTTGGAGGAAAATAGCTTGCTTTCTGGTACTGATGGTAGCTCAGAAATTCTGGATAGAAATTACAGTAAAAAACTTTGTCAGAAGATTTCAGAAATTCCTTATATTGCTGCATGGAAAGTTTATTTGAAGCAAGAAGTTGCCCTTCCTGGACTAGCTCTGGCTTTACTATTTTTCACTGTACTCAGGTGAGCCAACGAAACAAGTATAGCAAGTAAATATTACATGAAAATAAAGAGACTAGTCATAATTAGCCTTTTCCACTAATGCTTAAAATATCCAGTTTATTTATGAAGAAATAAGAGGCCAATACATGGCAAATTCATAAAGGATTATCCTTGAGATTTTAATTTTTACATGGCCAATACATGGCCACTAATGCATAAAATGTCTTTGAATTTTTGCTATTTGTTGGTCATGAATAGTTGTTAGAATCAAAATGAAGATACATTTTCTGTTTTATAATCTAATGAGTCATTAATGAAATTTCATTTTTTGCCTCAGCTTTGGAACATTGATGACAGCCACCTTAGAATGGGAAGGCATACCTGCATATGTCATTGGAATAGCAAGAGGAATAGGTGCTGCGATTGGAATTACTGCAACAGTTGCATATCCTGTGCTACAATCTCAAATATCAACTATTAGAACAGGAATGTGGTCTGTATGGTCTCAGGTATCAATTTAGTAATTAATGGCTCTAGAATGTTCTGTATAAATGACATGAGTACTCAAATACTCAATTTTCTGTGAACTGCAAGACTGTATTATTAATATAACAATGGTATATAGGTTGTTTAATTCAAGGGATTATTCCTACCGTTCTCTGTTGTCCTTTTATGTATGTTGTGCATGCAATTGCAGTGGACTTGCCTCCTTCCATGTATAGCTGCAATATGGATCCAACGTGGCTTTCTATCATCATATATTCTGATGGGAAGTGTAGCCATTTCTCGGCTTGGACTGTGGATGTTCGATTTGTCTGTGCTTCAACAAATGCAGGCAAGAAATTACCCTAATTATCTGAAGTTATTTAGTTTTTTCCTAAATATGATCAATCACTGACGTTCTCTTTCTTAATAATCATCTTGGCCTGACTTTTCTTTTATTCATTACTTTGATATAGGATCTTGTTCCTGAATCTGATCGTTTGATTGTTGGGGGTGTTCAGAACTCACTTCAATCTTTGATGGATTTCTTGGCCTATGCTACGGGAATCATAATATCTGATCCACGGGTGAGTTTTAAAACATTCAGCTTCTGCGAGAATTATTTAATTTCACCAACATCAAATTAGATCTAACAAAGGCAATCCTAGTTAATTTAATTATTACAGTAGAAAGTTTACCCTTTAGTCAACAAATTTGTCAGATGAATCTCCATTACAAGCTTTCTTTTGCACCATATTTCAATGCAAAGAATATAGTTCTCCCTCTAACGGAGAAACCAAAACGCAACACACATGATCTCTTTACTAGTTGTCCCCTTACAACGTTTTATCCTCAGTGAATTATTGTATACTAATTGGTCAGTGCTGTTCTGGTATATGCTGTTAGAAAAAATTAATAATAAGTTAATTAGTTTTTAAGAGGGTTTATTGGAACGTTTGTAATAGTTGAATGTTTTGAGATTGATGTTGTGTTGGGTGATTATTGTTTTTAATTTCGTTTGAGTAGAGATTTTGGCTCAAGATATTGTATTCTTCATTTGAGATATGACAGAGAATCAATAATATTCAGTTCCTAAAATTTTTTTGTTATCAAATTGGTATCGAGCTCTCGGGGAGAGCTTTGTTCCTAGGGAGAGTTTGAGTTTTTTGGGTTGTTTGTGAGAAGAACTAGGGTTCTTCGAAAGAGGGAGAACTAAGGGTTTTTTAGGGAGAACTAAAGTTTTAGTATTAAGTGTTTTAAAAAAGTGAGATGGCTAGTCCGAATGCTCGTTGCACTTGTGCTCGACCGACGAAAGATATCGGTTATGATAGATGGAGTCCCTAGATGCGAGCTTTTCTCACAGCCCAAGATTGTTGGGATGTGGTAGAAGACGGCTATGAAAAACCGGAGACCACGAAAGGACTATCGGCCAATGCACTCAAGGTGTTTAAGGAGAAACGTTCAAAGATTAATGCAACCCAATTCTTGTTGTTTGGAGCTGTAGAAAATTCCAATTTTGAGAAAATCGTAAGAATCAAGTCGGCATCTAATGCGTGGACCAAGCTGGAGAAGGAGCACAAGAAAGATGACCAAGTTATTCGTGTTCGACGTCAGACACTACGAAGAGAGATGGATAGCATGAAGATGAAGAGATCGAAAAAAAAATTTCGAATACGTTTTGTGTGTTGAAAACATAGCGAAACAGCTTATTTAGAACGGAGAAACGTTTTCAATAGAACAAATTGTTGAAAAAGTTTTGATGTTATTAACAAATGACTTTGAGAACCTGGTGTGCGCAATAGAGCAAGCTACGAACCTGTCCGAGATGACAGTAAACTAGCTAATTGGTTCTTTTCAAGCTATGAGCACCGATTGAAGAAAAAGAAGGAGGACGAGGACCCAAGTGGGAAATTGCTCCAGACCGAGGAGAAGGCACTTTATTCCCAAAGAATTGAAGAAGAGGACGAGGTCGTGGAAGTCAGTCTCGAGGTGGCCGAGGTGGATCCGGTGGTTGAGATGACGAGAAGAAAGAGGAGACTTAACAAAATTGGTGAGGTAGTGGATCGAGAGGAGGTCGATTAATAAACCACTTAGATGTTAAGTGTTTCAAATGTGGAAAATATGGTCATTATGCAAAGGATTGATATTCGAGATGTTTCAACTGTGGAAAGGAGGGCATTTCGCAAAAAAATTGTCAAAAGGAAAGTGAGACCTATCTTACAGAGGAGAAGGAAACTAGAATAACACTGATGATGATTGATCTCAATATGGGAATTTGCAATGAAGGAGTTTGGGCAAATGTCGATCAGTACTCGATATGGTATCTGGATACAAGTACAAGTAATCACATGTGTGGGGACGAGCACTTACTCAGCAAATTGGAAAAATATGATGGCGATCATGTTTCATTTGGAGACGCTTTGAGGATCTCGGTAAAAGGTCAAGGTACTGTTTGTTTCTTGTAGGAGGATGACCTAGTCAGGTCAAATCAAGATGTGTTTTATGTTCTAGATCTAAAGAATAATCTTTTGAGTATGGGACACCTGATGGAGAGAGGATATTCGGTTTTCATGGAAGATCAAGTGCTCCAATTGAAGAACAAGTTTGGAAGATTGATGGCTCGAGTAGAGATGGAAAATAATAAAATGTTCAAGTTGGAGTTGAGAAGCATTCGGGAGAGGAGTTTGAGTTCAGAGGACACGTTGAAGGTAGATCATTGATCTACTCACATGCATGAGTTGGTTCATCATGAGAATCATGATATTGTCCAAGTTGGTGATGCAAGTGAAAGAGACCGAGTAGGGTGGGCAAGTTGTTGCACCTACATTTGTTGCTAAATCGGAACGAGACCGAGATGATGTGCCACTAGCTGTTGTCAAATCAAAAACCGAGAAGGAAGAGATAACCATGAAGAAGTTGTACTCGGATTGCTGAGCATGGAGGGAAAAGTTTGTGAAGGTGTGATGCTCAGAATGTCGAGTATGAAGATGAAGGTTTGCAGAAGAGTGGTCGATAACAAGGCGAGTACCCCACTTAAGAAAGCTTTTAGAGGAGTGGTCGGTGACCATATCCAAACCATTTTGCACAAGAAGGTCCGAGCTGTATTTGAAGAAAACAACCAAACTGTTATGGATAAGAACATCCGAGAACAAAATGATACATTGATGATGACCAACTTACCGAGCTATGGTCGACATATTGGTATGAAGCAAGTGTTTAAGAAAGATGAGAAATATGACCGAGTTATTGGTGTGAAGCAGGTATTTAAGAAGGATGAGAAACTTTTGTTTCAGTCTTTGATCGAGCTCAGTCAAAAGAAAAGATATGAAAAGATAAGCAAGGTGGATGTCAAGTTGACATTTCTGAATGGTGTGCTCAAGGAGGAGTATGATGAGAAACCACTTGGATACATGAAGAAAGGTGAGGAAGTGTCGAGAATATGTTTGTCCCAAGGAGATTTTGAACAAGTTTAAGATAACCGATTGCAGTCTGGTATCAACCCCCATGGAACTAGGTACGAAGCTTTCAAGGTTTGATGAAGGAAATCGAGTTGATCCAAGCAGATATCAAAGTTTAGTGGAAGTCTTTGATACCTTATGAGCACTAGACTCGATTTGATGCTGAGTGTCGGGATTGTCAGTAGGTTCATTGTCTCTTGGACTGTGGTACACAAGGTCGGAAAATTACCGACTTGTTATATATTCAGATAGTGACTGGTGTAGATCACTACAAAAAAAAAAAAGAAGCTTCGTAGGTAATTTCTACGGATTATAATCCGTAGATAATGCACTCGCTTGAACAAAATATTTTTATTAACTTTTTTTATTTATTATCAAATTAAGGGAATTGTCATTGGTAAGATTCGAACCCAAGTAACTCTTGGAAGCTAATACTCCAACCACTAAGCTATTAGGATATTTTGATAATAACTTACAAATAAATTATATTTATATTTATCCGTGTAAATATATAAATATAAAATATATAAATATAAAATATATAAATATAAAATATATAAATACAAAATATATAAATACAAATATATTTATATTTTGATATATTTATATATATTTATATATTTATATATTTATATATTTATATATTTATATATTTATATATTTATTATTTATATATTTATATATTTATATATTTATATATTTATTATTTATATATTTTATATTTTATATTTTATATTTATATATTTTATATTTATATATTTATATATTTATATATTTATATTTATATATTTATATATTTATATTTATATATTTATATTTATATATTTATATATATATATATATATATATATATATATATATATATATATATATATATATATATATTTATATTTATATATTTATATTTATATATTTATATTTATATATTTATATTTATATATTTACACGAATAAATATAAATATAATTTATTTGTAAATTATTATCAAAATATCCTAATAGCTTAGTGGTTGGAGTATTAGCCTCTAACTTTGAGGTATTAGGTTTGATTCTTGTTGATGACAATTCTTTTAATTTAATATAATTTACCTATGGATAGTAATTCCGTAGGTAATGTATAATTTACCTACTGATTTTTATCCGTATGTAGTATGGGTTAAAATTTGCTAAGCTCGGTGGAGGAGAAACAACTTGGTGCAACTATAATTCGAGTTGATAACAAATCGGCTATTGAACTAACCAAGAATCTGATCAATCATGAGAGGAGTAAGCACATTGATTTGCATTTTCACTTCATCCGAGAATATGTGAAGGAAGGAAATGTAGAGCTTGTGCATGTGATGAGTAGAGATCAAGTTGCTAATATTTTCACGAAGCCACTTCCTATAGTGTTGTTCGAAAACTATAAAAGACTAAGTCGGGTAGATGGAGTCGAAAGTAAGGAGGTCGGAATCAGGCTGATCTAAAGTGTTCTTTGACAAGGAGAATTAATTTTACGAGAGGGTTTTGTTAGGAAAAATTAATAATAAATTAATTAATTTTTAAGAGGTTTTATTGGAATGTTTGTAACAGTTGAATATTTTAAGAGTGTTGTTTTTTGGGTGATTATTGTTTTTAATTTCATCTATGAGTAGAGGTTTTAGCTCAAGATAGATAGGCAATTGTATTCCTCATTTGAGCTATGACAGAGAATCAATAATATTCAGTTCCTATAATTTCTTTGTTATCATATGCATGCTTACCTATGACAAGGCTAAGGAAACATATATTTGCCAAGTTCATTCATATCAATGCTTTTGGTTGAAAATTCACGCCAAAAAGTAGCACATTTCTATAATTTCTATGTTTCTAAAATGTCAAATGAAGATAGCTTTAACCATTAAAACATAAAACAAAACCATGACATGAAACAAGAAGAGTCGTAGAGAGAAACATATTTGTTGTTGAACCATATTATATTTCTTACTAGAATCATATTTAAGACTAAATAATATATGAAAAATGATAATTCATCATCATAAACAAAGTGCAAACTTGTCCATCATCAAAGTAAATTTACTACCAAACTTTACTAATGATAACAAAGAATTTCTCATAAATCGTAAAACTGTATATTATTGATTCTTTGTCATACCTCAATTAAGGAATATAATGCTTGTATTTATAAACAGTTTCAAGATCTTCCCAAAATCAAATAATAACTATCCAAGAGATCACTAATATCAAAATATTCTAACAAACTTCTAAGTATCTTCCTAATCTTTTTATTCCAATAAACTCTAAAACTAATTATTTAATTTTATTCAACAAAACCCAACAAAACTCTATCGTAAAATTAAATTTCTTCGACAAAACTAAGATCGACTTGATATCGATCTCTCGACTCTCGACTTGTTGTCTTCAACTCTTCTTTGAGCTTTAAAACATGAGATCGACTTGACATCGACCTCCCACAACAATTGTAAAATCGGCTTGACGGATCTCCGATTACCGACTTGTACTTCAAAACTTTTTGGCCTTCAAAACATCCTGGGCTCCAAACTTTTGAGCTTCCTACCAGCCAACTTGTCATCTTCCCGAGCACCTCGAGTGCCTTCCATCATTTATCCCGATAATACACGTCTTCACACCAGTCATTGTCCAAGTACCCTACAAGTTGGTAATTGTCTGACCTCTTCGTCCCTTTTTCACACAACTCGATTTTCAGAGATCACCTCTCCATCCCGATTGAGTTCATTCACCATGATTTTGATAGAGGTGATGTACTTGGAAACTTCCTCTGAGTCTTTCATCTTCATGCTTTCAAATTCGCCATACAGGATCTGTAATCGAACCTATTTGATTTGTCATCGCCCTTGTATATTGTCTCTGGCATCGTGCACGCTTCTTTTATAGATTTAGTATTTGTAATCTTCTAGAAATCGGTATCTTCTATAATTTGAAACAATGTGAATAATGATGTATTATCTTTCTCACGATTCTTGTTCAACTCTCTGATTGATCGTCAATTCTTTTGTGATCTTAGGTTGTTCAAAACATTCCTCTACTACTCCCCAACAACTCTGGGCTTTGAGGAGAGCCTTCATCTAGACACTTCATCTATCATAACCGACCCCCTTGGTCAGTCGGGGCACAACAACAACATTTGTCAGACCAAACATCTCACTTTTTTTAAACACTCAACATTACACCCTCAGCTCTCTTGAGAAACCCTAGGTCTCACTCTTCCGAAGAACCCTAGTTCTTCTAAAAAACTCTAACTCTTTATACTAATTTGATAACAAAGAAATTCTCGAAATTGTAAAACTATATATTATTAATTCTTTATCATACCTCAGCCGAGGAATACAATGTTGCATTTATACATAATCCCAAGATCTTCTCAAAATTAAATAATAACTACCCAAAATATCACTAATATCAAAATGTTCCAATAAACTCTTAATTATCTTCTTATTATTTTTTTATTCCAATGAATTCTAAAATTAATTATTTAATTTTATTAAATAAAACCTAACAATTATTAACACAAATTAATTAATTAAAATAAGTAAACATAATTATAGCAGTAAAAAAAATGCAGAGTTTTACCGCCCACTAATTTAGACAGGAAAACTTTATCTCCTTGACAACATTACAAGATTCAATACTACTTATTTTTTTCAAGTTAGAACTCCATAGTGTCCAAGAATGGGTATTGTTGCCAGCCTCAAGATTACATTTGAAGATTTGGTCTGTAACCAAACTGAATAGCATCATGTGGTCATGTAGCCAACTTCAACTAGTAGGTTAAGGCTTTTATTAATGTTTGCTATATATATATATATATATATATATATATATATATATATATATATATATATATATATATATATCATCAAAAGATGGTTATTGCTTTGAATCTAATGCTAATCAAAATTACAATTGTGTTGATCATGCTTCCTTCTATCCGTTTGATTGTTCAGGACTTCTGGAAGTTGACTTTGTTATCATTTCTAGCTGTCACATTAGCTGCACTCCTCTACTGCATCCATGTGTACCAAGTGCGGAAGCATATCTTTCACTTTGATTGTCTAAAGTGGAATTCATGTTTGGTAAGAGCATCTTAGACTACAAAGGTTTTAAGATTGGTATAAAGTTCTGTGCCGTTTGAAATGTATATACAATTGCAAAGGAGTGACAGTGTTTGGCTTAATGAGTGGGAATTGTTCACAATCATCCTGCTTTTAAGAGCATTCTTGTTGCATATAAGAATTTCCCTCTCAATAAATGAGACTGGATTTCATCACATAAATGAAGGTTATGGAGAAGTTTGTCCAAATAGTACGTAAGATCGTTATCATTTTCAACATCTCAATCTTTTTAATTAAATTTCATGCCCAATGCAACGTAGACGCAATAGTCTTTCTTGATATTATGACCACGTTCAAAAGCATATGCGCCTTGTATACAGTCAAACATTGCACAATTTAGCTCATAAGGAAGCATGTACAAAACTTGAAACTCAGGAGACAAGTCTTTTGCCAAAGTGGCTCTTGGATCTACTCCACAATTCACACTCAAATGCTTCCTTTGGTATCTCTTAAAAGATGTGTAGCAACATCAATTGCAAGAAATCGAGCTGTTCAAATTAGCAAAAGGGTGGAATTAATAAAATGAGTGATCCATCATTTTAGTCCCTAAATATAGTTCACATTATCACATTAATATTTTACACTAAAGGTATTTAATAATTTCTTAAAATGTAACATAAGTCTACACGAAATTTACACTTTCAGAATTCTTACACGGAATGAACGAAGATTTTTATAAGATGTTGAAAGAAGTACTTCAATTTTTAAGAGTGAGTTGGCTTCTTAGACAATATTTAATAGACACAATTTTCTAGTTTACTAGACCAAAGACACGTTTAATTTCGTTTATGTAAGTCATCTAACAAATTTTCATACAAAATGAAAATTGAACAAAAATTTTCGCAAAGCAAACTATATCTCTAATCATATTGAATTGCAGTATATCACCAAACAATTATAGAATAAATAAGGCGATACTAGTGTAAAATAGAGAAATCATTATATCTTTTGATGACTTGTCATTTAATAACCGTCATCTTATACATTGATGGTTATTAATAATAATCATCGTCATAGTTTTTATACCCTATTCTGACTTATCTTTCCTCATTTTTATTGTGTTCTTCTTTCCTCTTTCTTCATTTTTGTCGTGTGACTCCTTCCTTCTTCACTTTAGTTGTGTTGCAAGTTCCTCATGATCTATTTTCTGTCAAGCTATCACCTTACATTTCTCCCTCTCTCCCGCGGCTGTCTCTTTCTCTCCCAGTGGCAGTCCATCTCCCTTGGTGGCAATGTTGTGCCCTCTTTGTGGGTGGTCATCATGGTGTGCATGGTGGTTGGTGTTGGTCCGTGGGAGCAACTCATGTGTGGGTTGGTGGTGTGTGTGGTGGTGTGTGGTGTTGCAAAGATAGTTTTGTGTAGCTCATTCTTCCCTCTTGTTATTGGTGTTATGTCGTGTGACTCTACTTCGTCTCCTTTGTTTTCTTCTTGTGGAGTTCATTCTTCCTCTCTAGTAAGTAATTGTTTTGACTTAATTAATGTATAAATTGATTAACTATTTACAATGTGATGATTGTCATTGATATTTGGCTTTTTTAAACGAATTTGTGTTGAATTCAAAGATGTATGATCCTCAAAAAATTGCATTGTTGATTGAATTATATAGTTGTGTATGCATTACAAAATGTAGAGATAAACAAAAATTGGATTAATTGTGTCCAGTATAACTTATGAGTATGAGAAAGGAATGAAAGAATATTTACACATCGAAACTCGTAAACTAGTTCTACTGGTGGAAGAGTTAGGTGTCCATGTGTGAATTGTCTTAATGAAAGATCTTAATCATTATGTCACTTGTTATATGTATATATCTCAGGTATAATCATCATTGGCAATTTTTATCATATCTATGATTGACAACACGATGGTATGGTTTTGTTCAGCTGCACAAAATGTCATCTATATACCTTAAACGAATAACATATTGGTAACAATTTTTGGTTATTTTTATAAAAATTATATTACGGTTATGTTTTTATGTTTTAACTAAATAGATAGGTTATTAGTGCTTTTTCTAAATATAACATAATGAGCAGTATGTTAATTGGAAGACCACAAAAACTCACGTGGTTGCATCTAAATATATAATCACAAATATTTATTTTTATTTATTTTTAATACTAACAAACTAATTTAATTTCTATATATTTGAGAAACATTGTACTAGACAACTTAGAGGATGAGTGTGGTTATTATGTAATGCAATGGATGACAACCATTGTCCAAGCAGAAATAAAAAAAGGTTGAGACCATGTAAGACAAATATTTCTTTAAAAATAATTATGCATCAAAAAGTTAATTATAATTATATTTATAAAAATTTATTTAAAATATTAAATTTTTTTTATAGACACATCTTCCATAGATGTAGATGCTATAAAGTATACTAGACGTACATGAGAAATATACTTTATCAACTTGATTAATACATTAAGATAGTTAAATTTTTGTTAAAACAATATATTATATATATTATGACTTTATGGTTGGACATTAAAATAGTTGATTAATTATTCTGTACATTTATTATAGTTGACTAATTATTCTTATAAATATTTATAATGATTTTATAGAATTTTAGTAAAATTAATATTAAATAGTCACTATTTAATGTATTTATGTTTGTTTAAGTATTATAAATATGTTAAAAATTTGCATGGAAGTGTATTGGGTTGATTAAATATGTAGATAAAGGATTGAGCCATAAAATAAATTGTTTATTTAAAACAAGAAAACCAAACTACACAAAATCTTTGTTATCATAAGTTAAATACAACAACAATTATTTAAATTATATCTCTCACCAACAATGAATGATCTAAATATAGCCTAGTAGGCCAATTGTAATGTAGTTAAACATTGCTATAGCAGTGCGAACGTACAAATCTTATTGGAGCAGTCATAATATAAGGCATTATAAAATTCGTTTTCTATCTTCTGTTTAGCATTTTTCTCTTTCATAAATGTCTATATACAGAGAAATGCTTTGTATCCATTAATTCATAATTTCTTCTATAAAATTTGGTTTTTACCATCTTACTTTGATTTCTTTAACATATTTACAAGACTATGATTTGTGAATGTTTTGAAGAACGGTTTTGCACTAATTTTGAACTTATTTTCAGGTTTTCCAAAAAAAATAAAATCATTTATGTTACTAAAAATATATGTATTTTAAAATATTATAGGTTATTCTTTTTCATTCTTTAATTATATTAATAATAAATAGTTAAAAAAAAAGAATAAATAATAAAAATTAAAATAATTTATATAATCTCATCATTTTCTATTTAATTTTGTTTTTTCTTTTTCATTTTATTTCCCCATTTTCTTTTACACAATCTCAACTAATCACTAAGCCCAGGTAACAAGAATGCAACGAACGATTCACACACAAAATATCGATATAATTGTCTCAATCATTTCAAAAGGCAACCACGCTGAAAGAAGGCGACTTAAATTTATTCAATTCAAGAGTATGGATCGGCACCCTATCATTCTCTACTATATTAAAACTGTCCAAATACAGACACATGTAACCATTGTGTCAAATTTGTCCTTCTTTGACACTATTTTTGCATTCTACTACATTTTTTTTTTTTTTTTTTTAACTTGCCTTTCTTTTTCACCTGTTTACTTCAATTGTGCAGCATGCAAAAGAGGGAAGGACGAATGATGAGGGTGGATATTTTAATAGAAGAAGGGTTAGAGCAAATTGACAAACTTAGAGCATCTCAATACTAACAAGAGTGATTTAATTAAGAATAAAAATAAATATTTATTTTTATTAAAATTGAATAAAATTATTTAAAATTAATTAAATTTTAAAAAATTTATATATAGAACTCATGATAAAATATTTATTTTTATTTTTAAACTATTCGCTGTGAAAATTTTTCTTTATGTATGCTCTTAACATTTTATAATTTTAAAATTTTAAATTCAAAGTTAAGGTTTTAAATTGAAGTTCACGTGATATTCTCCTGTATATTGTATATTTGATTGATAATTTCGTTTGTAAATATCTGATAATTATTATCTCCTCAAAAATATTGATCGGTAGCATATTTAATAATATTGGCTTAGTTAAATAAAATATAGAATATAGAATATATTGTAAATAACATTTTTAATGTTTTATATCAACCATGAAATAATTTATGTTTCTGCAATGTTTTATATCAACTGTTGAATAATTTATGTTTTTCCATCGTTGGTATCTCTCTATTGCACCACCTTCATCAAGGGCAACTATGACAGGCTAGCAAAAACCACCCCTCTGTTCACTCCATCAGCCAATTTAACAGCGAGTTGTGAACACAAGTTGGGCTATAAATAGCCTTCAAAATTGGATTCATTCAGAACCATGGTGCATCTATATATTGTCTATCAAAGTTCATATCTTATAAGGAGATTTGAATTGAAGCAGTCTCGTTCTTACCAACTGAAGCAATATTTGTTAGAAAGTAAATGTAAGTTTTTTATAATTATTCTTTTCGTATTATATATATATATATATATATATATATATATATATATATATATATATATATATATATATCAGATGTATTTTTTGTTTGAGGCAACTATGGTCGAGAATAATAATGACTACATTTTTCATGGGTATCTAACACTAAGGATATGAACTTGAAACTTGTACAGTTGATTCTTATTTTATCCTTCCACTAATTCTGAAACCTATCTCATTATAAAAATAAGTACTTTTTCAAACTGTCATTTATAATTAAATTCAACTCTAATTTTTTAAAATAGATAAATAAGGCACTTAGTGACCTTTTCCAAATAGTTATTATATTGAAAATATTTCATTTTGGTGTGTACTTTTTTATCGTTAATTTATGCAAACAATTATCATAAGTCCTCTTTTTTTCATTTATCTAATTTTCATTAATTTTTATAAAAATACAAAGCAAGACACTACGCCTTCTCAATAATAATAATAATAATAATAATAATAATAATAATAATAATAATAATAATAATAATAATAATAATAATTCACATTAAAGAGTCGTTATTCATTATTTCTGTTTTTATTTTTTTAGTGAAATTTCGTTTATGTCTCTTCTATTTACAACGTCGAGGAGTAGCATTCTTATCTCAGCAGTTTTGTGTTTTGTGAATGCAGAAGTAACAATGAATTCGGAAACAAGAGGCAGAAGTAGGAATAAAAGAATGTTACGAAAGCTTGAGAAGAATTTAAGAATTATACCAAAAATTACTTAAATTTTTAAAATGCTAATTAGAATTTTATACATATCTTTAATTAAGCTTTGAACTTTTATTTGTTTTATAATTAAATAGATCATTGGTAATAATTACTCTTAATGAGGGTTAGACGAAGAAACTGAACTAAAAAGCAAACACAAATTTAAAAGACTAAATTTAATTTAGAAGCTAATTAAAACTTAAAAATTTTCATATTAAACAAATACGTTGTTATTGCTTGCCTAATTCTAGCTTTCTAGCCGCAATTGAGTGAAACTCTTACTATATAGATTTGACTTTGAGTAAACTAGTTTGTTTCATGATTCTTGATTCTTTGAAAATATCTCTTTTCAAAAGATGAAAATGAATAAAAAATTATATATATTGGAAATAAATATCTCTTTTAAAAGGAGTTTTAGTAAAGATATTTTTCGTTTTCTTCATTCATTTTGAAACTATAGTTAGAAATAACTACTCGTTAGAACTATTAGATTTCAAGGGAATAAATAGTTTAAAATGAGTATTTGTTATATATATATAATGGATGGTTAATATGATAAAAAAATATTATAAACAATTATTTCTAAACATATATTGAATAATTGATTGAGTTTTAAAGATTGATGACTTGGTCTAATTCGTCTAACCTCATTTAATACATTAGACTTTTGAAGTTGCAATAGAGGGATTGCAATTTGCATGTAACTTGATCAAGATAGCAATTGTGAAATGGAAGAAAGCGTGAAACTGGGGGTGCCTCCACTCACCGGACAACAACAAAGGCCATCATTAGCTCTAATCACTTATCTGTACATTGCCCACTTCTTAGCAAGATGGGGTACCAGGTTCTTCTTTTACTTCTCAGCAATTGCTTAAACTTTTTATTTCATTGTTACATAAGTTGGATAAGGGCTTTAAACATTACTATCAGTTGAGAAGACTCTGTCTGACATGAGAAAATTATGAGTGTGATGGGAAAAATAGACCGCATGAGATATGATTTATTTGGCTTGTGATATTCCAAATCGTTGATGCATCAGTAAATGTGTTACACTATTTTTTTTTTTTTCTAAAACAAATAATTGAATTCATTGAGGAACTTTGTTTGCAGAATGTGGGAATTCTCTGTTGGTTTATACATGATCAATATTTGGCCAGAGTCATTGCTGTATGCAGCAATATATGGTGCCGTTGAATCTGCTTCCATTGCAGTGTTTGGTCCCATAATTGGAAGATGGGTTGATAAGTTGTCTTCTGTTAAGGTGAGACCAAGTATTGTTTATACAAAATAAGTCAATTTTGTGTCTAATGAAGCCATGCTCTCCTTTTGTAATTAGTTATCATATTAAGTATTACTTGGGAAAAAACAAAGTAAATTTTGTAGAAGTTATAAAAGAATATATAAATTTCTTTAGACTACATATCAAGGTCCCTTTATGGGATCAGCTGGTATGAAATTATTCTACTTTAATTAGGATTAAGTATGTAACTTTATTAAATACTAAAAGAAATTTTTTATCATACAGTGTCTCTACCTTGTTAGAACAAGATTGCTTTCAGTTAAGGATAGAAAAAATATCAAAGTGCCTTTAGAGAAATAACTTTATCTGATTGTTTTATTGGCAGGTTTTACAATTTTGGTTGGTGACACAAAATCTCTCTTTTATTATTGCCGGGGCTTCTGTAGTTGCCTTACTCATCCACTCATCTTTGAAGTTTACACATTTCTCCATTTTCATGTTGCTGGTGTTGACAATCAACGTCTGTGGTGGCATTGGCGTGCTTTCAACTCTTGCGGGTACAATCCTGATTGAAAGGGAATGGTAATATCTTTAAGTCTTTAGGGAGAAAAGATAGATATTTGATTATGCATGTAAAGTAAATTGTCTTTTCTTGAATAAAATATTGATGCTAAAGATTTAGCTCTCAGTTCTCACCATAATATCTGATCAATTTCTTAATGTTCTGTAAGACAGATGAATTTTGTGTAAAAAGTGCTTTAGTTGCCGTTGAACAGGTTGTTAGTTATATCTGAAGGGCAACCTCCAGAATTGCTTACAAAGATGAACTCAGTTACAAGACGCATTGATCTAAGTTGCAAACTTCTTGCTCCTGTCATCACGGGGTTCATAATAAGCTTTGTATCACTTAAAGCATCTGCTATAACTTTAGCACTGTGGAATACAGTCTCTGTTTGGGTGGAGTATTGGCTTTTCACATCTGTATATAATGGGATTCCTGCTTTGGGCCAAAGTAGCCAGAGGAGGATGGCAAGACTTTTACATTGTGATCAGGAAATGAGTAATCGAACTTTGGAGGAAGATAGCTTGCTTCCTGCTACTGGTGGTAGCTCAGAATTGACAGATAGAAAATGTAGTAAAAATATTTCTGAGAAGATTTCACAGATTCCTTATGTTGCTGCATGGAGAGTTTACTTCCAGCAAGAAGTTGCACTTCCTGGACTAGCTCTGGGTTTGCTATTTATCACTGTACTAAGGTGAAAGCTTGCGAACATTCATAGCATAGCACTTTGCACAAACTTTGCTTTTGAGGTCAGTGTACGTATTGTACAGCTGCCTCTAATAATAATAATTCATTGCTTTTCAAAAAAATAAAAATAAAAATAAAGAAAGAAAATAACAAACAGCCACAGCAAGTTAATGTTACACGAAGAAAGAATTTAGTCTGAATTATCTTTTTTCCTCAAATGTTTAAAATGTTCAATTTATTTATGAATAAAAAAAGGTAGGCGATGACCCATGAATTTATTTATGAGGGGTTCCCTGATATTTATTTACATTTACATTTTTAACTCTTCAGAAACTTGTTCGGTACTATTCTATATGTTATATCAGAAATGTTCGGATTCAATGAAGGAAGCAAAAACACTTCAAAATTGTACATATATATCTTTGTCAAATACATTTCAAATACCTTTTAGTTCTATCTACATTAGTGTTAATATTGTATTCATTTTATATGTGCTTTTATAATAGTAATACATATTGGGTAATCCAAGTGTGAGTTAAGTTTCACATTGAGTAAGAATGAGAAAGTTGAGCAACATATAAAAAAGTATGACCTATAACCTAATGTTTTAAGGTTTTAGGTTGAAATTGATGTCAATTCTTATGTGAGTTGGATTCATGTCTCATTTATGTGTTTCTCCCATCTGAATCCCTCCTCAAAAGACCCAACAAGTGGATCAGAGTAGTCTTTGTACCAATGTGAAAAGACTCACACTTGAGGACTAGATTGTTAGGTAATCCAAGTGTGAGTTAAGTCCCACATTGAGAAAGTTGAAGCAACATATAAGGAAGTATGACCCATAATTTAATGTCTTAAGGTTTTTGATTGGAAGTAGTGTCAATCCTTATGTGGATTGAACTCACGTCTCATTGGTGTGTCACTCAATGATCACGAAGTCGTTATTTAACGACTTCAAGATCTTCTCTACAACTTGATTATCAAAGAGCATCTCTCAATTTCGATTAAGCTAGTTCACCAAGGTTTCAACACCAGTGATATATTCGAAAACTCTTTCTAACTTCTACATTATCATGTTCTCAAGTTTGTCACGAAGTGTTTGTAGCCGAACTTATCCTACTCGATCATTGCCTTTTTATACTTTTTCTAAAATCTCTCACGCTTCTTTTTAAGTTTTAACACTTGGTATCTTCTCAACGCCAAATTCATTAGCAACTCAGGGCAACACATATAAAATTGTTTTATCTTTCGCACGTGTCTTTTTCAACGCTTTGTTTTGGATTGTCGTATTTCCGTGGTGTTTGTTAGTTCTTCGTAACAATCCTTGACCATCTCCCAATAATTTTGGAATCCAATGAGGAACCTCGTTTGGAGACTTCAATTGTCGTAGTTGCCTATTTTTATCAATCGAGGTAGGGATAAACTCTTTATTAGACTGACCATCACCATCTTCAAGCTCTTACATACTCAAACACACCAATTTGATCATAAAGAATTTATAAAATTTGGTATATTATTATCTCTGTCTCAATTATCAAATAATACATCTAGTATTTAAAAACTGAAATTTGACATTTTGTTTTTTAGTCATAAATTGTATTAACTACCTAGGATTGTAATAATTGATTCTTGCCTTTTACAAGATATCTAAGCAATCAAAATATTTAAACAAACATTTAAACTTATTATTTGTTATTTAAGTTTATTCAACACTACCTCCTATGACTATATTACTTCTATGGTACATGTGCTCTTTAATGTGTTCATACTTTCTAAGTTTCAGCAACATGAGCGTTTGTTGCTGTTGTGCATCCATTTTTGTGAAATTACTGTTTTATGATAAACAAATAGTCTGAGCTACCAATATCTGTCGATTATATTTTATAATCATTGGACAAAGTCATTGAAAAAAATCATTCTAAGCACAGCATAAAAAACCTGTTGAATATATCTTTGTTGTCACTTGGGTTGAGAGTCATTGATGGAATTCCAATTACTTGCCTCAGTTTTGGAACTTTGATGACAGCTACTTTAGAATGGGAAGGAATACCTGCATATGTTATTGGACTAGCTAGAGGAATAAGTGCTGTGATTGGAATAGCTGCAACAATTGTATATCCTGTGCTTCAGTCTCGTATATCAACAATTAGAACTGGACTTTGGTCTATATGGTCTCAGGTAGACATAGTAATGGATCTAGAATCTTAAGTGTTATCTGTGAATACCATGTTTGAATGCTAGTCATATTTTCAATTTCCTTCCATTCTGAACCAATATGCAAAAGATGAGTTGCTGATAATATTTAGCATAAGGGTTATTTTCTTTAAGGGTTATTGTTATTCCTATTGATCGTTGTTTTCCGAGTTTATGTATGTTGTGCTTGCAGTGGACTTGCCTCCTTCCATGTGTAGCTGCAATATGGATTCAAAGTAGCTTTCTATCATCATATATTCTGATGGGAAGTGTAGCCATTTCTCGGCTTGGATTGTGGATGTTTGATTTGTCTGTAGTTCAACAAATGCAGGCAAGAAATAACCCTTATTATCTGAAACTACGTAATTTGTTTGCTGTCTAACTTCTAACATGTTTGTTTAATCACTGAAGCTCTTTTCTTTTAATCATCATGGCCTGATTTTTCTTTCTTTTCAATCTCTGAAATAGGATCTTGTTTCTGAATCCGACCGTATGATTGTTGGAGGTGTTCAAAATTCACTTCAGTCTTCGATGGAATTATTGGCCTATGTTATGGGAATTATAATATCTGATCCACGGGTTAGCTTTAAAACTAATGCATTCGTTTAGAACATTTTGAGTGCCCTTTACAACATTCAATTCTTAGTTATTGGTCATTGTTCTATGAATAAATACATGGGGATTTTCAAGGCCAAAACAATCTATATCTACTAGTTTCATTTACATTAAGGCTTTTGGTTACAAATTTATACCATGTAGTGCACTTCTCCATAAGTCATTCTGACCTTTCAAATAAAAATTTAATCTAAACAGCAGTGCAAAATTATTTGCTACATCCTTAACTTTGGTCTAAACAAAGTGTATTTCATAAGTTATGCTTAATGAAAAAATTTCATCCACTGTCAAAAGATATATTGCATTGCGTTAAACCTGTTTCTTATTGTTATCTGTCTATTCAGGACTTCTGGGAATTGGCTTTAATATCTTTTCTAGCAGTCACGTTAGCTGCGTTCCTCTACTCTATCCACGCATACCATGTACGAAAGCACCTCTTCCACTCTGACCCAGTATTGTGGGGTAAATGTTTTGTGAGAGCATCATAAAATCTGTGAAGTACAAGTTTTGTTTTTACTTTTCATGATATTTGAAAGACAAAGTTTAATTTGTATGCACAAATAGCGTTTGATAGAAAACTGGTGAATTTTTTATTTGTTTAGTCATAAAATTCACGAAAGATAATAGTTAAGAGGTAAAATATGCAATTAATTATATTTTAAACTATATTATTTCATGTTGAGCAATTTATACCTAATTCTAAATTGTATTGTCAAATAGAAAAAATCAATAGATAAAGGAGGGAGTAAAAAACTATTTGTAGAGAAGTTACCGTATCTCAAGGCTCCTTCACAAATAGATAAAGAAGGACAGTTCGCAAGATTCATGGATATTTTCAAGCAATTGCAAATTAATATATCATTTGTGGAAGCTATGGAGCAAATGCCAACATATGCCAAATTCATGAAAGAGCTCTTAACTAAGAAAAGATGATTTATCGATGAAACGAGTAGAGTTAGAGGCGGGATGCGAGTGCTATATTCCAAAAATCATTGCCTCAAAAGTCCAAGGACCCTGGAAGTTTCACTGTACCGAGTCACAATTGGTGAATTACCGGTGAAAAAATCATTGCTTGATTTAGGGGCCAGTATAAACCTCATGCCATTATCTATGCTCAAAAGAATATGAGACTTGGAAGTAAAGCCTACAAGAATGACATTGCGGCTAGGTGACGGATCTCTAAATATTTCTTATGGAGTAAAAGAAGATGTTTTAGTTAGAGTGGACAAATTCATATTTCTTGTTGATTTTGTGATTATGGACATGGAGGAAAATGAGAAAGTCTCATTGATCCTGGGAAGACCATTTATGAAGACTGTCAAAGTAATTATAGATGTTGACATGGGCAAGTTGAAAATTAGAAGTGGAGATGATGAAGTTAATTTGAATCTGTTTGAAGTTGTACAACAACCGAAAAACAAGAAAGATTGTCTCGGAATAGATACTTTGGATGAATTACCCATCTCAATTGAAAAACAAGATTACAAGTCTGTTGCACAACCCCAAAGACATCTTAATCGACTATGAAGGAAGTTATTCAAAGAGAGTGCTGAAACCTCCGAAGCGGGTATGATTTATCCAATATCCGACGGTTGTAAGGTTATTCGCAATGAGAAGAATAAATTCATTTCCACAAGGATAGTCGAGGGATGGAGAATGCGTATATATCACCTTGATCACTCATCCGCATGAGCCCTAAAGCAAATAGGTGTCGAGCTAAAGACGTTAAACAAGCACTCCTCGGAGGCAACCCAATGTTTTGAATTTTTTTTTTTTGCGGTTTAAGTTTTTTTGTGCATTTTTCTTCCTTAGGTTCTTTCTTTGCAAGATTGCTCCGGGTACACAGTGCACATCTCCTCAAGACTTTGAAACCTTACTTCAATAGCCTGGGGACAGTCCAACTTTTCCGGAGGGGTGAAAAAGTCTGCAGTGAAGCTCGAGAGCACAAGATAAGGAGTACATGACAAATGAAAAAAATGAGTGAGAAAACTTACTTTACTTTTAATATTTTTAATTTAATACTTTTAATTACTTTATTTTAAATTTTGAATTCTAGTGTTGTCCATGATTTATTTATTTTAGAGCCATATATCAACTTGATATTAACATTAATTTCAATTTAAACTCTCACCAGTTTTTAATATATTGTCAAATCTAGTAATGAGATACCTACTCAATTATTGAAATATCGACACTCTCAGCAGCCATGCGCGACGCATGGTAAACATTGAATGGAAAAGAAACGTGGTAATATTATCAAAAAGGCAAGAACCACGTGCTAACCTTTCTTGTCTTCGAACGCTGGTACGCTGCTCTTCAGAATTTGTGTAGTACGAACGGTAAATAGAATTTATATCAATAATAAATTATTTATGATTAAATATTTAATATATTTTTATAATTATTGATTTAATTAGAAGAATATGTTATATATATATATATATATATATATATATATATATATATATATAAGATGAAAACCAGAAATTTTAAATATAAAGACTAAGATATAAAAATTAATTATCATATAAAAATAAATATATTATATATTTAATATTATTAATTAAATTTAAATTTTAAAAAATAAATTTTATTTTATCTATCTTTTTCATAAAAACAAATGAGTTTACAATTTTATTTTATAGATATTTTTAAACTTTAAATTGATTTTTTTATATTCTAACATAAAAATATAGGGTATCATAAAATATTAAAATAACTAACTAATTTATATCAAATAAAAAACATTTATATTAGTATTTCATATTTTTATATTATACTACAAATGTGAATTATTATAATAATAAATAAAAATACATTTATTTACTGTATTTTACTTAAAAAAATTATTGTAATGTGTCATCTTTATTTTTTAACTTTTATTTGTATTAATAAAATAATTTTTATTTAATTTTTTTTAAAAAATTAGTATATATATACACGATAATTTAACTATTTTTAATAGTTTCAAAGTCAAAATTATAATTTATTATTAAATAATATGTAAAAAATAAAGCGGAAACCACTAAAAAAAATATGTTATTTGTGGCAGTAGAGTTTAGAAGTTAAAAATCGCTACAAACAAAATTTGTAACGATTAATATAACTGTCATATTTGTAGATGTCAAAAATAATTTATAACAAAAAAATTTTAAATGCTAATATTTATGTCAAAAAAGAAAAAAAATTCCAACGAGTTAAAAATTCTCACAAAATATATTATTATTCTCATTTTAATTTACTATTTTGTTGTAGTTTGAAATTGTTACAAATGTTATTTTTATGATTAATTTTATATTTTAACAATTAAAAACCGCCATAAAATATATAATATTTTATAATTATTTAAAACTTATTGAAGGTTTAAAAAAATGCCAAAAATTATTTAATTACTATTTTTTTAAATATTTTATCAATAAATCAAAATTTTAATTATTATTTACAAATTATTTTGTAATAATTTTATAATTAATAATTAAAATATTTTTTTATTTAGAATTACTTTAAAATATCATGATAAGTGTAATAATAATTTTATCATTTTAATAAAATCAATAATCTAAATATATGATATATCGATAAACTAAATTATTTATATTAAAAAATATATAATGAAATGTATAATATATTTTTTATTTTTTTTAATGACATAAAATATTAGTTTGATTCTTACTAAAAAATGATTAAATTTGTAGTTTTTAGATATAATTTACTTTGACAAAGTGCTTAGCTAAATATAATTCAATATCAATTAAGATAAAATCAAATTGCATCCTAAAAGTCCAATAAAATTCATGACATTATTCATTAATAAAGAGTATCTAACAAGATACGATGTCAATAGATCCACAAATTTCATAACATATATGTCAAACTTAATGAAAATTACTATCCAATGAGTATTCTCCTATGATGTTGGCATATTTCATTCACTTTCTTCATCCTATGAAATAAAAATACTATCATCTTAATATAATTAAAAATATATATAAAAGATATTAAACTCCATAGAAGTAATTAACAATATAATTCTATTAACACAAAATATGAAATACTTACATATAATGTCAAACTTTATGAAAATTACTATCAAAAGATGATTCTCCTTGTGGTGTTGACATATCTTGTACACTCTCTTCATCATATAAAATAAAGATCATATCATGTAAGCATAATTAGAAATTATACATAAGATATTGAACTTTATACAAGTATTAAATAATATAATTTCATTTAAAATAAACTATAAAGTACTTACAATTATATTACTTATACTACCAAACATGACACCTAACTCAGGAGGAATGTGTCCTTCTTTCATTTGGATGTATGCAAGCATGACACTTTTTAATGTTTTGACATTTTCTTCAGAAGTTGCTAATTTTTTTCTTAAATGAATAACTTCCTCTTTCAATTGAGAGCTTCCACTCGAATCAGAATTTGAGAAATTACACCCTGCATTACTAAATCTTGTGGTAGATTGGAATGCAACACTATGAAGGCCTCTTAGTCCTAGACAACGTACACGCCCAAGATGATCCTTTACCGAGCACTTTACTAACACAATCATTAGCTAAAATTTACTGTAAAATTGATACTTTGACTCATTTCTTGTGTTATTTTCTCCTGTAAATAGAATAAATACAATTGTTTGATATCCATATTAATATTATATAGAGGAGGTCTGTAAAATAAGGTAGATGCAAAGTCATGATATTTGACAAGTCACAACTTGAAGCATGTTAACATATCTAATGAAGTGAAAAGATGGAGATATCTCAATTTAGAATTTTAGCACATCCCTTTAATTGCGCTCTGTCTCAACAAAGTTGTTTCCGACAATAACATCGGTTTGGTCACACTAAATAATACAAATTAAACTCAAACATTCTATATGTTTATGATTTATGATATGATTCAGGTCAAAATATAGAAACTGAAACAAGACAAAGTTTACACCATACTGCTGTTCAAATATGTGGTTGGAAATTGGAATCCTAGATGCAATGCTTCAAACACTAAATTATAACGTTTCGTTGAGTGGTGGGTGAGTACAGGTACCAAAGTTTGAGTAGTTAAAATTAACACCCACATACAAACCAAAATTATATTTTAGTACAAAGTCTTATCTATAGTATATAATAGAAATAATATAAAGATGATTTTGTCAGTATGGTGTTATTATAATTAGGAAACTTCTGAGCCAATAACAAACAAGTCTGACAAAGATAAATTAAGTAGTGAAACTAAAATATGACAACCAAATAACACGCATTGAATAATAAAAATTTAGTTTTTTTTCATATTACAAATAATAAATAAAAAGAAGAAAAAATAATAAAATTTAAAAGACCTAAATTAGAATAACAATAGAGTCAAAGTTATCATCGAGTACAAAGGGAAGTTGCGGATGGTCTTAGTGATCTATCTACGACCTGGTATCAAATGGTTTATTCTTTATACTTTAATTATATTCCACACTATGTTA